AAAAAAATCCCTGCCGGGAATCAAACCGCGCTCATCCAGCTCCCAGCCTCTGTCCCCACACTTACCGAGAGGCACCAGCTGTTCCGCTGTGTCTGTAGTGAAGCTGTAAAGAGATAATTTTGTTTTGTGACGTAAGCCACTTTTACTCCGGTGATGTCGTTACCAAGCCGACAGAGCGAGTGATCGCTTGCAGGCTGTAATATACAGAGTGATGGAAAAGTCACGTAACCCATTCCTGCCACAAGTTCTGTTTGTCAAAAAGTAAATTACTTCGAAATCAGAAAGCAAGAAATAATTTTCTATTAAGTGCTGGAAAATTCCCCGTGTCTGATGCGACCCGGTGAAGACTTTCTCGTTCGGAACACACATCTCGAATTGTATTGGGGTGTAACCACGAATAAATATTTTGATATGGGTTGCGTGAATTTTCGATCGTCCTATATCTGCTTACATTCGAGTCGCTCATTTCAATGCAGTTCTCGAGAAATCCCATAAAACAATTAACTGGAATCACGAGGAGCGTGGAACGAAACCAAAAATCGATTCAAGACGGTGCCTACATACTAGTATCATCACCACCGCTGTTCTGAGACTAACCCAGGCAGCATTTTATAAGCTTCACGTGACCGTCGAATTCCATGCTTCCATGTTGGAACAGAAAATGACACGTGACGAAATTGCTTCTAATTTTATACGGCGCCGAGTAATTGGGTTAGCTCTACCTGCGTTTAACTCGTGTTAATTTTGATACGACCGTCCAAAACCCACAGAAGATGCAGCGACGTCGACAACTTCGAATTTAATTCGTTTACAGACCGGACGTCTGACTTCTGTTAATGTGGTCTGCGAGCCTCATATACGTTCAGGCAGGGTCTGTATTTCAATGTAGTTATAGGTCGCGGAATATTATCGGGGATGACCATACAAAGAAGGATGAGATCTGTGGGTCACGTAGCCTGCATTCGAGAAATGCATACAAAGTTCTGGCCAAGAACTCGAAAGGAAAATGTTGTACGTGATTTTGAAAGAAACAGGCTTAGATTGTTTTCGGCTGGAATCTTCAGTTGCCTCAGGAACCAGTGGCGGGCTCTGTGGAGTCGACCATGAGCCTTCGGATTACATGGAATTTTTCGAGTAGCTGAATCGGAAAATTTTGTCGTGTTCTCGTAGCTGGGACAATTGACACGTTAAAGAGAAGCCCAGGACTCTGAAGGGAGAGCAATTGTGCCCTGTACCTGTGTGCTCCGTGTTGCGGGTCTGCAGGCGTGCTTTCTGGTGGGGTGGGACGGCTCGCGGAGTCGTGGAAAATGGTTTGAGAAAATGAGACTTGTAAGAAACCTTAGATGTGCTGGGAAGAGGTGTGCCTGCCGTTGCCATGGCGATGACAATCCATTGGTAAAAAGGAGTGGAGGTAGCAGGTGGGATGAGGAATGGAGTAGACAAGGAAAGTAAATCATTGAGAAAATGGGGAAACACGAACTCCAGCACAAATCTCAGCTTCGTCTTCCCTCCACTTTCTGTTCGATTTTTATTTGTTTTCTCTCCATCAACTGTAGAGGTACCACAAGCACCTCGTTCTAATCTCTTGCCTCTTCCTGGAACCACTTCATGGCTGAAGCACCCGGCGTTAGACTTCGGTCCGTTGTAGCCAGCAACCATTATATTGCGCTGATTGAAACCCGAAGCCTCTGACTTTCATTCAAGTCTGTCTGTCGGTAGTAACGACGCCTTTCCTTGGTTTCGTTGTCAGGGACAAAGCTCGATAAGAGCTGCTTCTCCTTTGTTTGTGTGGCCTTCGACACTGTTCACGTTATTTTCATTTACATCCATCAACCCCGCAATTCTCGCAACAGACACGATGCTTGAAATCTTCGCAGTCTGCTTCATTAAGATTCATTTAGCGGACGATCCCTTTCCGTGAGGTTTTTCAGTCAAACGCTGTTGTCCAGTTGCCAGTGAGTTCTTCGTCCTTTCAGAAGTAATAA